AATATACTGTGTAAATGGTAAATGGTAAATGGACCTGTACTTGTATAGCGCCTTTCTAGTCTTCCGACCACTCAAAGCGCTTTTACACTATGTGCCACATTCACCCATGGAAACTAACAAATTTGGGGTTCAGCATTTTGTTCAAGGGTACTTCGACGCATGGCAGCCGGGGATCGAACCAACAACCTTCCGATTGGGGGACGACCCCCTCTGCCTCTGCGCCACATTTTAGCTGACAGGTGCTAAAATATAATCTTCCTCTCCTTCCTTCATCAAAAAATCCATTCAGGATTATCTCACAGAAAATGATTAGCAAAGTTGATTGGAACAAAAAATAAAAAACAATTTGTTTGTGACCTGTGCTGAGACTGACTCCAATTGGTGACATCATTCCATTCCTCTGAATCCGCCCTTGGGTCCACCCTTAGGGACAAAGCAGGTATAAAAACCTGCCATGCTGCCTGTGCCTGTCACAAACTAGGCTGAACCAACACTGCTCACTGACACATATACAGTTTACAGTGACAGGCAGGGTTGGAAAACAAGCAGGCAATATAATAAATCAGTTAATCATAGTTCCTGTCAGTGTGATCTGTGTGGAGCATTAGCAGCAGTTAGTGAGCCTTCCTTTGTTTTGGATCTTCCTCTTATCATCAACATCCTCATCATGATAATAAGCATCGCTCTGATCTGGGCAGTGGTGGTGGGATTCTGCTGCCTTCTCTGGCTCGCTGTGGGGATACGACGCAGGTAAGACTGGACATGCTGGATGCGATGTATTAGGCATTTCTTCAACTTTAAGCTCCTTTATTGTACTAATATAGTGTGTCTACAACATTTAACATTAATAGCAATCTCCTGATATAGACAGAGTTTTAGCTAATTGTACACAGATCAACACCAACAGAGTTTTTTTTCAGGCAAGCAACAACAGTGCTTGATGCATGTGGCCACTGACATAATCACATATACATGTAGAGTGTGTTAATCAAACAAAAGCTTTTGTAATGATGATAGTATTTGTTTGGTATGCAGTTGATCCACAAACATTGTCACCAGTATGCTGCTGTCAAACCTCATGGTGTGTAGTCACTGGTCATGTGTGTTCAGAATGGAGTAGCTGATTAGGAGCTTATTGTTTTGTAACAGTGATAATACTTGTTTGTAATAAAAACACATGTGTTATAAAGGATTATCTTGTTAAAATGAGCGTCATAATGGCATTAGGGCTGGTATGTAACCTCAACAACACTGGCAACAGGTTTGTAATTACTTGCTGCGGTTGTAAGAAGGGCTGTGGTTGAACTTCAGGGAACTGGGACGGGACAGAGGCTGCAATGCTCAACAATGCCATATACACACACGCATAATAATGATGATAATAATAAGGGCATCATCAGCCTTCATCAGTGGAAAAAAGGTGCATCTAACAGTAGACCTTATTGTTATAATTAATATTTTGGGATGCATTTTATGTTTTTATTTGAGAGTTAATAGTAACCACTGAGGCTCCAATTACATGGTCAGCAACCTAAAACCCTGTTCAGTGCAAACAGTGTATAATTATATTTGGTTTTCAGATTGTGAATCTGTAGAATTCAAACAATATTTGTAGACTCACAAAGTACTCCTATGTCTTATTTAGCAAAAAAAAAAACCTCTTAAAAATGTTTGACATAAGTTTTCATTGGACAAAGACAAAAAGTAAAAACTTCCATGAGCTGACTATTGGTTGAATCACTATTCCTGATCAGTCAGCAATCAGTAAGTAGCAAAATGTCAGGGATTACTTTGAATGAATACTTTCCTCATAACTAATCTCTGTCCAGACAAAAAAAAACAGAGCCCCAGTGTAGAAAAGGCTCTGTACTGAATATTCTTCTTTTTCTTGTCAATGTCCATAGGCAACCTGGTGAGCCTGCAGTAGAGAATGGATTCATCCCCTATCTGGGTTGTGCTCTGCAGTTCGGGGCCAACCCTCTCCAGTTCCTCCGCAGCCGCCAGAACAAGTATGGCCACATTTTCACCTGCAAGATCGCTGGCCAGTACATCCACTTCCTGTGTGACCCCTTCTCTTACCATTCAGTCATCAGACAGGGTAGACACCTGGACTGGAGGAAGTTCCACTTTGCTACGTCTGTCAAGGTCAATTTATGTGATTTCATCTTTTATTATTCATATTAAGGATATTTTCTTCATCCATAGCGGGCATTTTCTGCTATCAGTGAATCATTCAATGGTCCTGAACCTCTTCTTCCTTCCCTCACCAGGCATTCGGCCACGACAGCTTCGACCCTCGCCATGGCCACACCACAGAGAACCTCCACCAAACCTTTCTAAAGACCCTGCAGGGTGAGGCTCTGCCCTCCCTAATAGAGACCATGATGGGCCACCTACAGGATGTCATGCTGAGGTCAGACACACTCAGCCCCAGCAAGGACCACTGGGAGGTGGATGGCATCTTTGCTTTCTGCTACAAGGTCAGTAATTGGACTTCAGACCGGAAGTAATAGAATTTAGGACTAGATTAGATTGGCACAAATCTACTTTAAAGTCAACTGTAATTGTTGTATGTCATGAGTTATTATTCAAGTTTGGACACAGTAGAGCCTCCATCACTAAAAATGCAAACTTTTCCATAGCTTCCATGCCCTACAATTTGGAATCAAAAACAATGCCCCCAACTAACAAGTTTCCTTCTGTCCTGCTGTCCTCCAGGTGATGTTTGAGTCTGGCTACCTGACTCTGTTCGGTAAAGAGCTTGGTGAAGATAAGTGTCAGGCTCGGCAGACGGCTCAGAAAGCCTTGGTGCTCAATGCTTTGGAGAACTTCAAAGAGTTTGACAAGATCTTCCCAGCGTTGGTGGCTGGCCTGCCCATACATGTCTTCAAGAGTGCTTACAGTGCTAGGGAGGTTGGTGTGCTTTCCTGCAACTATCAGTGGAGGGAGTGACCAAATATAAATATAATGATTAATAAGCAAAGGAAAAAGCTTCACATAAGAGAAACTATGAATGTCTTATTGTTTTCAAATGTCTAGAACCTTGCAAAGACCATGCACGCTGAAAACTTGTCCAAAAGGGAGAACGTTTCTGATCTGATCTCTATGAGGATCATTCTGAATGACTCCTTATCAACCTTCAATGACGTGAGCAAGGCCAGGACCCACGTCGCTCTGCTCTGGGCTTCACAGGCTAACACCCTACCTGCTACGTTCTGGAGTCTCTTTTATATGATCAGGTATGCTGATAGTCCTTTTCTCTTTACTGGGTGGGCTCTTGGGAAACAAAACAGAAAGCAGCCACAATTCACTGGGCAGTAGTTGTTGGTTAATCTGTATATTGCTGGTTAATTTATGCTACTCTTGACTGTTAATCATTTAAACAAGTAAGGATTGGAATGAAATCAAACTTTGATTATGCCTTAGATCCAACAATTGAACAATTGCCATTTCAAGCGTTCAAGTTTTGACCATGTGCAGATGGATCAATTAATTGTATGCAAGAGTTAATTGAGGCTTTTCAGGCTAATTGTGGATTAAATTATAGTTTCAAGCTACTAATTTTAGTTTAATACAAAAAAATATTTGTACTTTGTGGTAGACAACAGTTCCAAGGATAACTAGGAGATAGTGAGCAGATATGAGTGATGCAATAACAAAACAAAAAAATTGGTTGTGCAATTGGCACATCACAAATTGAGCTGTCTTCCTCTTGTCAGTTATTTGTCAGGTGTGATTAATTACTACCAAGAACACTTTGTTTTTGGGACTAGTGAGGCTAAAATTTTAAATTACTCATATAAATGGATTTATGTTGAAAGACAAGTCCATATTAAAAACGCATTATCCCAGTCTAACTGGCAGGCATATTTTGGGACAGTGTGTCTACAGCACGTTCAACCTCAGAAAATATCAAGCTTTCCAAGGACCACCACTATGACTGACATTAAAATACAGCAGTGTAGGCTGACCCTATTCAGCTACAGACAGTACACACAGGAGGCAGGTAATAAGAAGATTACTTATTGTTGACTGTTGAATCCTGAACAAGACTCATTCATTCATAAATTTACATTACATTACACATTTTCATTGGGAATTTTGTTAGCATTATGCTTTTAAATTAATTAATTTAATTTTTTTAATTCCACGGCGTACCACCAGTGGTACAAGAACCATAGTTTGAGAACCCATGATTTAGGATACAAATGCTCTTGGAACATTCTTCTGTACACTTTGTATAACATGTCTGTCAATTTGTCTTGTACCCCATGTACTGTACAACCACAGTTTTTATGTCACATTTATCAGTTTCAGACAGCTTGATTGTGGGTATTGTACACATACCCCCAAGCACTTAAAGTAAATGAGATAGTTGAGGTAGAAAGTTGTGTTGGCTTCAGTGGAGCAGATTAGAGTTGTATTATGGTGTTGCATCAAGTCTGACATTAGTAGTATAACTCAGCTGGGTCTGTGTAAGCATGTAGATCAATGGAATTGTGCCATGATTTTATATAATCTCATTGAACAACATTGAACAACCAATTAACATTTTACGAGAATATATTTTTCATAATTTTGTTTGTGAAATAATAAATGTTTATCTGCACAGCGTCAGTGTGCAAAGATAAGATCATTTTCAGTTTCAGTTTCATAAAACTGAGCGACTGTGTTCTTCTATATAATGAGGCCTACAATTACTGCACTGTTCATATGATGTCAATGTAAAAACCCTCATATTAATGCCAAAGTCAGCATTAAATAAAGTTGTGTTACATCTGCACCAAGAATCACAGTTACACTTAAATACCACTGCAGTAAACTAGACACTAATTGCAGTGAAATTAAATTATTTGTTCCTGAAATGAAAATTAGTTACCCAATAACTGTGACAGTAACATGACTAACAGGCTCCTTTATCTGTGCTCAGGAGTCCAGATGCCATGAAAGCGGCTCGTGTGGAAGTACAAAAAGTTCTGCAGGATTCAGGTCTGATGGTTGACCCCAGCGACCCCACACTGAACCTCACCAGGGACCAGCTGGACAACATGCCAGTTCTAGGTAAGATTACTTGAAAATAAGTTCAGTCAGCCAACTCATGTTTGAAATATTTATT